GCTCTCCAAGTACGTTGAAGCGTAATACCGCAAACGGAGGGCTTGAACCTCCAAGAAGTCCCTGAGGACGCATAACAGCGGAAACAACTCGTGCCGTGTGACGCAGCTGTTTCCTAGAAACAGGTTCAATGCGGTCATCTCTGCGCAGCAAAGATCTTCGCCTCCAAGTGCGGCGTCTTGTTGTGCTGGTCGGCATTCACCTTAGAAACACCTACGACATGCATACGGGATGAGAACAAAGCAAACGCAAATAAAATGATATAATGAGTCAGGTTCCTACCAGTCGTCATGCCTGTCCACGGGCTGCAGGGCCCAGCCTGCGTCTGCACTGCCGTTAAACCAGGCAACGTCGGCGGGTCAAACGAGAATGGTGAGAAAAGAGTCAAAGTACAGGCTAGCTGGTGGAAGTCAACCATTTCGTCGTTTACCCTGAGACTGGGTTTTTTTTTTGAAGAGCAGAAGTAACAGAAAGCTGTCTGTTGACTGTCTGTTGAGACCTGTCTGTTGAGACCTGTCTGTTTTTTCTGTTACTTCTGCTCTTCAAAAAACCCCCCAGTCTCAGGGTAAGCGACGAGAATGGTGACACGCTGATATCGAAATCAAAATCGTCGATAGCTTGATAGTCCCCAATTAACGCCGCGATCACAAAAATACGCCATTTAACCATAAGTCTTTCTAGGAAGGTATACTTTTTTTGTTTTCCTTTTTAGCCTATGTAAAACTCTGAATCGCTATCAAGATAGACAAACAGTCAAACAGTCGCGAATAGGTGCTGGCACCGCCGCACGTGCTAACCAGTGCACAGCTGACTGCACCCAACCTGACTTCCAGTGACGTCACAAGTCGGCCACCCGAGATAACGACACCTAACAAGCGGAAGTAAAAAACCTGCTTCCGGTATCGCGTTAATTTGCTTTTTTCTAATTAACTAAGATGAGCTGCAAGACACCAAACACCATTTTAGAAAGAGCAGATCGTTCAGATAACGCCATCACCTTTGGTAACTCGAAAAATCTCAGGAGTACCGCTTTAACGAAATATGCACATGTTTCGTGCTTTTGTTCTGACCCTTGTTTTGCTTCCATTTATCTCTGCTTCGCGTTGTTTCTCACTGCTACTTTGAATCAAGACGCAGTCCGTAGCATTTCACCGCCGGAAACCGTAATGTTAGAAACTAGCTTCACGATGTACGTATAAACAAACGTGGACTTTCAACTTGTTTCCACTGAAGCGTTCGTCGTTTTGGTTCTATTACCTAAATTTAATATTGAATTTGATGAAAAATGTAGTCTGACAATTTTATAAAGATTTTTTTTATTATTATTAAACTTGATATGCGTGTGGTCGATTAGTTAGCCTGAACGCCTCAACTATACAGTTTTCTTACGCATTAATGCGCCGAATTGTTTTCCTATGAGCTGATCAAAAATATGTTTTCATGCGACGTGCATGGTATTAACACGCACTGGAGACATGTGCAAACATAATCATTATTTTTGTTTTTTTCCAATATGTAGTTTCCAGTATTCAGACAAGCTACGTCGAATCTTTTCAAGAAATTAGAACATCTCAATTTCGCGTTGTTAACGCCCTAACACGGCAGCCAATTAAGGATATTGTGCGCCATAACTAGCTTTACTACCTATATTTAACTAATGAGTGCTTGCTTTCTTAATATCGTTCTACATTTTTAACGATAGGTTCGTGTTAAAATAATTCAACTAATAATCTATCCTCATATCCCTACTGGAATAGTCATAGAATTAAAAATAGGCCGTCGTTAGGTAACGACGTTCCCACAAGGGTTATTTTTTCTTTTGGAAATCACCACTACCAAAAAAAAAAAAAAAACACCTGCCCGCAGTTCGATTCAACTGTTTTTTTTTTTCAATTTCTATAGTTTATACTACCGACATGAGCTCAAAGTTGATGATCGTGGCCTCATCCTAAACCAGACAAGCATATCAATTAGATCGTTTATATGTTTTTCAGAACTACGTGTGATAGGTCATCGCAGTCCCTTAGATGATATACCTCCTTTGAGAATTTAGGCGCTCTTAATGTAAAGTGTATCAAATGGCAGATAGATTAATGCCTCGAGTTTTTTATACAATTATTTCTCAACTTTGAAATTTCTCAGCAAAATAATATATTTGAACTGATAAATTTTCGTACTTTCGACTATTAAAAGTTATTCCTAAATGCAAAACCTCACCTTTCATCCGTTTTCGTTTTTTTTTTTTTTTTCATTATGGAATTACAAATATAGGTCTCCGAGAATATCGGTTCAAGCTCGGTTTACAATCACAATCAAAAGGTTGGAAGTGACATGACGAAGCAACTACAAGTACATAGCTATGAATTACGCTATCTCAAGTTTTAATGCTGGTGTTAGCCATATTCAGAAACCAAATGTTCCCAATATCTTATATCTTTATTAGTTCGCGGTATTCCAAATTTAAAGCATTAAATTACTACTTTATTTTAAGTGCTTCACTTCTCTGTTGATAGTGCCTAAATTAATTTTATTATGTATATATTTCTAGGCTTGAAAAAAAAAGTAATACATTTTGATATCGAAACTGACTTTGAACCTGTTGATGACGTGTTTTCCCTTTTTCTCAAATTTTAAAAAAACGCGCTCAGCAAATGAAAAAGTAAGGAAAAATACATAATCGTCGACACGGTATTTTCTTCTATATTTTTTGTAATATGCATACATTTTCAAAGATTGAGAGATGACTAAAATATTACGCTAAGTTTGCTGTGGCTTTATGCCCTCTTACACCACCTCAGATCTGGGAACATGCGTCTCGATGTCATGAAGATAGCGCATTATATATTCTTTATTATAAGTTAGTAACTGAAACATTATGTTAACATAGGAAATAGGCACGCTCAAATTGGTCATCCGCAAACTCTGAATGAAGCACTGTTATTTGTTATCGTTCATACCGTTCAATTTGCACGTAGGAACAATTACCGTCACGTGAAACGTGTTTAGCAGATCCTCTAAACTGATAGCTATAGAAATATGTTTCTTGTTAAAGGACACGTGCAAAGGAAAAAAACATTTTTTTTAACAGCTTAGATGAAAAAGGATGTCATAAAACGATTTTACAACGAAGAAAAACATTTTTAGAGCTATATTTACGGCGCTATACGAATTTGTAGTTGGCGCTCGCGGGAGCCGTCGCTGCTCACGTGGTAGGCCCGCGCGCCGCCGCGCTGCGTCGCCGCCGCCGCAAAGTCACGCTGCCGCCGCACGCTGAGTGTTGTGCGAACGCCGCTTCAACGCGTTTCTCCACGCCGCCGTCGCCACCGCCGCAGAAGTTCGTCTGCTTCGGGGCGCCGCCGCCGTCGTCTGACCGGCGCACAGGTCTATCACGTCTGCTTGCGCTATTTCAGGAGTTTCCTTTCGGCTCTAAAAGTTACTTATTCATCTTAGTTTTTTGTTATACTTCAAACAAAGATGAATAAGCTACTTTTAGACGCCCTACGAAGCTTCCAAAAGAGTGCCAGCACCACGTGATAAATAAGGGCAAGTTACGTGATAAATAAGGGCCACTTTTCCGCGGCGCCGGCGGGCGTCAACTACAAATTTTATAGCGCCGTAAATATAGCTATAAAACTTTTTTTAGCTGTAATATTCTTTTATGACAACCTCTTCCCATCTAAGCTGTTTAAAAAAAAATGTTTCCTTTGCAAGTGTCTTTTAAGGAAAGTTTTCACCTTACACTACCGCTCGCTACCAGACGCCTGCACACACTTTTTTTATTTCTTCATAATTTGAAATTTTATATTTTAGCAGCATATAAACCCTGGATTTGTTGCTTTGCGTTGTTAAATTTGCTAGTACATAACCTTTCCATTTTCTACTTTCGACAAAAAGATATTTTCGCACGTTCGCTCAAATATAAAGTGAAACGCTGAAAATGGTGAAGTAAATATCAGAAAGGTATTTAATGTTTCATAAAGGAATACACTTAACGTGTTTCTTTTCATAATGTATAGAGGGAAAGAACAGGGATTATTTTCACACATATGAGCATATACCTTCATGTGCGCATTTTGCCAAGGAAAGATATAACTGAATTTTTGTTTTGACTACCCTTTGGCATTTGGGGCGCAGTCTAGTAGAATATAGAATACTACGGAATGTTCTACAGTATAAATATGTATATTCACCATTGCGCAAACGTTTTCTAGAGATGAGCAAACATATCAGAAACATATATTTACAAAACCGAACACCTTGTGCTAATTAATTAAAAGTATTGAACTCAAAGTTCAATACTTTTGCCAATACGATGGCCAATACGATTTGCCAATACGATGCCCTCCATATGAATATATTCACTTCAAACTTCCGGCGAATTCTTACTCAGCAAGACATTGTCATAACCCACTTTCTATTCACTTCGCTTAATATGAAACCAAAATTGCAGGAGAGGACTTTTTTTTTTATCATACTATGACCCTTACCGAAAATTCATCAAATAATTTCTATTATTTGTGGTTGAAATATTACGACTGGTTGGACCAGCTTTGAATGGTTCCTGACTACTTTCTACAATATGTTAGTTTCTTTTTTACACCGAATAACAGAATCAGCAGAACTTTACATAGGAAATAGACTCATACATATATGATTTTGCGTACTGTTCTGTTGGTGTCTTCTATGCGTAACAGGGCTGCATCTTCAACCATGCTTTCACACCATCTGCTACGAACACGTCATATCTTACGACTTCCTAAATGCGTCAATGAATCAAGTTGCTTTCATCAACCTCAAGAACAGACGCCATGGGCGCGTCAAAGGTTCCAGCTGCAAGTAGGAGCTGCCCTTTAGCTCAGAAGTCTGTAACCTGCGGTAAGATAAATTTCCAGCGTTTATTATTTTTTTTTTTTGTGCTTACAATCTGTATATATTTTATCTCGCAGGTGATGAAAAATCCGCTACAACAAAAAATTGTCTTACATGCTACACATCACCGTCCATGCATCTAGTAATGCTCATTCACATTGTATGGATTCTGGCAATCGCAAGAACATGTAAGCATTTCTTCCGCATATATTCCTCAATGTACCAGCGCATATCGCTTTGTGTTTTCAGCTAAATGTGCCACTTCAAGATATATCTTTTATTTCTGATAATAGTTAAACCTGTTAAATATTTTTTTTCTCATCTTAAGGAGAGCATGGTACAATATTTGATTGTCGTAGTTTCAAGTTAGTTGAGTAGCCGTGGAGCCTGAACCCCGCGGGCCGGGCTCAGGCTCCATGGCTACATTCATGAAGGGCCCGGCCGGGTTCGGGCCTTGCATTCAAGTCTACGAGGCGAGCCAAAGAGGGCAAAGACGACCATTACTTTTTTTGGCAACATATTCTTTGGAAGTGTGTTCGTGGGGTTGGCAGAGGAACCACAGTGAAGAAAAAAATAGATGCTAAAGCATGTGTGTGTGCGTGTATGTTTTTGTATGTTTCGGTATGTGTGAAGCGAATGCCCTTTTAAGGGACTAGCGGCGCGGCGTTTCTTTTCGCGCATCAACACGCACACATACGTGCCTACACAAGGTGCACCCTCGTTGGCGTAATCCATCTGTGCGTAGGAATGGGTGCATCCCCAATTTGGGTGCACAGGTTCCCCTGAGGGGTTGCTTTTCCTGAACAATTTTTCTCGGACCACCAAAAAATGCGGCGATATTTTTTTTTTTTTAGGTTATACGCAGCGAGAGTGAGCAGTTTAGAACTTTGTCCGCGTTTTGTCCAAACCGGTCGAGACTTTTACCTTTCTTTTGAACTGTGATACATGGTTATGTTTACTGCTGCTTGTGATTTTTGTTTTTTCGTCCTTTCCGTGCGGGTTTAGTCGCAGAAAAGAGTGATCGTGTTTTTTTTTTTTTTTTTTTTTTTTTTTAACAAGTTGTTTAAACCTGGAAATCAGCAAAAAAAAGAAAAAAAGATGTTTACAGCATTTAAGGTTTGGAATCTGTATATAAATCTATATAAACCAGGTTGAAAGTTGGAATGACGAAGAAACTAGGTTGGAAGAAGATAGAAATTTATAAAAAAAACTGATTTTTACATATCTTATTGTTTTCTTGCATAGCAAGTTACATCACAAAGTGCCAGCTACATAACGGATGTGATGGTTTGCGTCGTCATCATCATCGTGATGACGTCATAGTGACGTCACGTGACGTCAATGCGATGTCGTCATCGTCGGTGGAGATGTTATCAGTGACGTCACCAGTGACATCGCTGATAACGGCATCATCACCCATGACGTCATCGTCATCGTCACTGATGACGTCATCTCCATTGTCATCGTGACTGTTGACGTCACCAGTGACATCACGCGACGCTAATGTGACGTCACGCGTCACTGATGACGTCACCAGTGACGTCATCTTCACTGAATACGTCATCTCCATCGTCGTCGTCACTAATGACGTCACCGGTGACAACGCGCGGTTACGCCGACGGCGACGCCGCTCAAGTCGGAAAAGGGTGCCTAAGAGCTGCGCTCCAAACAAGGAAGTACAGAATGGTTAGTTTTACTCAAGGAACTATATATATATATTTTTTTTTTTTTTACGAAGCTCAATTTTCTTCGGAGTTTTATTTGCGCTACAAGAGATTGACCATGAGACAAAACATTCTAGGATTGTAATAGAGAAGTTTGTAAGGCCATTCCTGGTCAGCATAAGCATGACTATGACAGACGGGGTAGCGTATCGAAAGAAACTGCCTGAAGCTCCTGCATTGCAAAGTACTTCGCGTCTAATCTAAAAATTCAAGACTTGTAATCTAAATATACCAGGCTGGAACACCGAATGAACCTAGGTTGAAACAAGGATGGAATTTATAAATAAACAATAGATATTTTACTTAAGATCCCATTGTCTATTTGCATATCAATTAGTTACATCACAAGGTGCAGGACGGGATACGGTGGTCTGTACTACAGATGCCAAAAGCTAGACGTTTGCAAGATATCGCCCCACCTTTTAAATCAGTACCTAAAATTATCACGAAGTATATATGTATATATAAAAAATGGCGAAATCACTGCGGGGTGGTCGTACCTCACCGCCATATTTGTTTCTCTAAAGCCGGCGTTACACTGCTTATACATCATACAAAAGACAGTCTGCAAAGTGATTTAAACGTGAGTCCCCACGAGACCTGAGCTTTGAATACCTCACCTCAGCGAGTTCAAGGATATACTTGGCACGCGGCATTCGAACCACGGATATCATGGTGATTGATATCTGCAGACTCTCTTTTCTATAATGTATAAGCAGTGTGACACCGGCTCAAAGGTACTTCTAGTTAAAGCAAAGACAGCAATATGACCCGCGAAAATTGCGTTATAAATACTAAAAATTATTAAAAGAAGGACAAGACGGACCGCACTATATAGTATCAAACCTCGTGCTCAGGCTCAAAAAGTTACCTAAACAACGTGCAAAGATTAAAAAAAAAAAAAAAATCCAGAATGATCTTTTTAAGTGAAATTCAAATTTTGTATCTACGGAGCTAATTTTTTTCTGGGATTTTATACCGATTGAAGTCAAATATATCAAAAGACGCGCTTATAGCTCTAGCCCCCGCATGTCCAGATGATCATCTAAAATTAAATAAGCATCACAACTCGTCCATCTGCTTCCCTAGAGCGGTTGCTCACCGTTCTTCCACAATACACGGAAATCCATGAGTAGAAATTGCAGTAATTCGACGTAACAAGACCTTTTTCTTGAACTCTCCTGCCTCGCGCCATGCTGTCGACGACTGGGTTGGGAGCGCCTCCCCGCGGGGAGACGCCGCCACCTTCTCTTTTTTCGATTGCGCCCTCTCGGCATGAATGGGACTCCGGAAAAGCGTTCGCGCGCATCGGGATCTCGGAGGCCATGCTTTGATTAGCAGACTACGGCCGCGTGTTAAAACTTTAAGTTTTTTTTTATTTCTAGCTATTTACACAGAGAAGTTTGTTCAGTGAAATGCTTATACCCTTAATGCACGCTCTTCAGCCACCTCTGCCTAAAACCTTAGCCCGATACGCACAGAAACCTATTTATACGGTCCCTTCAAACAACCATCGACCCATTTGACTCAACCTGAAGAACATTGCTTTACCTCGTGTTCTATTAAACTTCGAAGCCCCTAAATCAGAAGCAATTAGAGATATTGTAATTACTTTGACCGAATAACGGTAGCCTACCATTGCGTCCGAGATTTCTGAGTGAAAGGTTGGCTGCCAGTCTGAAAAGTTATAAGATGATATTACAGTGACAGCTATTCGTGAACATTTTTCCCAAAAAATTGCATTGTCCTTTTTCGGAAAACGCCCGGTGACGTTATAAAATCATATTATCGCGCCCGCCGCGGCCGCATCTGAGTTTAAAAGAAAACAAACTCTATCCGTCTAACTGGATTTAAACCAGGGACTCATGGACTTATGAATGGCAGAAATCGTTTCCTGTAGAGCTCACCGCTTCACCGCCTGAGATCTCCAAGGGATAAGTTTCAATCAGTAGGCCTTTTGCCGATTTACTCAAGCATCAAAAAGAATGACAGGAACGCCGGTACGCGGACTCCAATCGTTCGACGCGCCCGACGGCTGCTTTGGTAACTGCAGTGTATTCTATGGGATACGTACGCTTCGAAGCGCAGCGTCTAGATGGCGCCCCACCGTACTCTCTGGAAGACATAGTTCGTGAACGAAAATCTAGATGGCGCCTCGAACGACGGGAGGCGGACTGAAGTGAGTGCGGGGGGTACCCCCTTCCGCGGGAGTTCCACAACTGAGGTAATGTAGTAACGTTGCGGAGGAGCTGTGGTGACGTCAGAGTTACGCCGAGCTCTGATTGGATTTGGTCGAAAGGATGGTGGGTAGACCTCAATGCAAGATGCCTCAAGGTCTACCCACAATTATTTTTTTCAGTCAGCCAATAAGAATTTGGCGTTCTCACATCATTCCAACGCCTATGCCAGAAGCAGGCGGAGTTGCACTTTCAATAGGGAAAGCGAGCACGTGCAGCGCGTGTACCTGCGGTCTCTTTGAAGCTCAGGTAATTTAGCGAAAGGTCTGTTAAAGGCTGTATATATTCCATTTCTTTCTACCTTCGGTAACGCTTCGACGTCTTGTGAACTTCGAGCGCGAACGCGACGCCAGTGCACGACAAATGTCAGAGCCTCCTCTCTACTCACAGAGCCTGGCAGTTCGAAGACGGAGCCATAGAGTGCCCGGACGCAGATTTGGACCGCGAGGATCTGGTAGCACTGAGCATTTCTCGGGGAACCTGGACGTCAGCGCACAGATTTTGCAGCGGCGAGGAGCCGAAACATGGTTTTCAGACCGGCCGAAAAGAAGCGGTATAGCGAGAGGAACGCGAGGAGCACGAGCGGACATTCCATCGCTCGGGAGAAGTGTGTTTCGGTCCTCGCCGCAGCGGGGCGCTCGTCACGTGGCTCTCCTTTCATCCGTTGTGTGCCGCTCATCCTTTTCGATTCCGGCGGCCGCTTCTCGTGGCGATCAGCCAGGCTTTTTCACTATTGGGGTATCCGCACGAAGGAGAAATCCGCCCCTTTCCTCCGCGGAGCGCGCATCACGTGAGACATACGTCATCCCTCTTTGACGCCTCGCGCCGCTGTTCTCCGTGGCGGAGGCGCGGAGGCTTTGCGCTGTCAGCACGAAAGCTCCGCAGGTGGGCGGCGGAGCCGAGGACGGAGTTTTCCGGGATGTTGACGTCACGACATCCGTCCGCGGAGTTCTCGTTCGTGTGAATACCCCTTATAGAAGATGCTATGCAAAAGGCTACGAGCTAAGGCCGGGCACTTGAAGGAAGAGACGCCCTGCAGTTGGGTTTGCGCATCTGGACGATCATCCGAGCAGACCAGCTTGCACACGGTATGATCACGCCTCGATGGCCCGTATCGGGTCCCAACAACCCAAAATCAGGTACAGCGACCTGAAGAGGCTCATTTTATACGAAGTACGGATGGGGCACGGGAGCGGAATCAAGAGCGGAAGCAAAAATGGCGTGAAA